TCAATGTTTTATTTTTCTCACCCTAAAATCTTTTTCTTTTTTTTCTACAATTTTATACCCTCTCATATCTTTTGATTTACTATTAATCCTTACTTCTTTAAACCATTAGTTATTTTCATAGCAGTGTGATATACTATATGGACATCTAACCCATAAAACAGAATTTTTAAATATCTGATTTGCTTGTAACATGGACCTAGTAGAGACAGTGTATTCCAACTATGTGCTTTGATTAAAGCATTAATCATACTTACCACAAACGTAAGAGAGCCTAACATCACAAAAGGAGGGAGGGTGGCGTTACTGACCAGCAAACGTGAAGGTGGGGAGATAACTTCAATCCACCCATGTCTGTAGGGCAGAACATTTTGTTTAATTACGGCTCCTTATGGTTTAGTGGGATGTCACGGACTTAAGGTATTGAAGCTGATTTATCACGCAAAATACCTCATTAAATCGTGTTACGAACGTTGAATTGGTTTCACTTCCTACTCAGAAATCCTACTACAAGCAAACTAGACAATTCGCTAATATACGAAGCCTACTCAAGACCCTATAAAACCTGAAAAAAACAAATAAAAAAAACGAAAGGGGCTCTAATAGCTTCGATAATAAAAGGAAGATAGCCAGTTGTATATCACAATACTGTTTCTAGCACTATATTTTATTTTATAATCACACATAATCTTATACTCTCAGCTCTTTTCCGAATCGCCTCCATTTGTCAGTTGTATGTCCACTCACACCTTGCTAAAGCCTATTTTCTTTAACCTATTAAAATGCTCTTTCTTAACAAATACCTTAATAAAAGAAAATTAGACTGAGTAATCATACCTTAAACATTCCTACATGAATATTGGCTACTCTGCCTCTCGTGTTTTCTTTTACTTGCACCCTCTTTCACCCCCCTTGAGATATGGAACAGGTTACTTCATCCTGCACCATCCTTAAAGCCTTGGATATCCCAAAGGGACATAAGGTTGCGATTTCTAGAAGCTCATACCTTCAATGGACCTATTCTTGACCATCAATCGCACATTCGCAACGCAACTTTCGTGAAGCGCGCCAACTATAGTACTGATTAAAACAATCTACATTCATGTCTTATAAATTTTCAACCCAGCTACGTAATTTAATACAGTGTATATTGTATCATTTGTATCAATTTGATCTTGCCTGTAAACTGGCATGCCTCATGTAACAAACTGTCATTTGAGAATAAATTATTATTATTATCTATCCACGATTCGAGGTAAATCTTCTCGCAATACTTTTTGCTTCCAAGCAAACAAAACAGGAAGCCCTCAACCGAGATTATCCCCAAAATTTACCCAAATCGGACAAAATTTTCCCCAGAAATGGGGGATTGAAAAGTTATGAAGCAATAATCGATCCACAATGTGTACTACAAGACAGAGAGAGCAAAATCAGTGTTCTTCGCAAAGACTTTGTAGTGCTGCTGCAGCAAAAGATCACTTAAACATGATAACACCTGGTATTCGTGCGAATCAACGGGCACCCGGCAAATACACAGCATTTGAAATACAGAATGTTCGTCCATTGTCAGGCCGTTCAAGGACTTTGGAACGAAACAGCGGTCAGCTTTAAAAGGGTTTGAAGTTTCTCCCGTGTCTTTAGTACTTCTTGTGATTAACCTTGCTTAAGTATATCGTTGCATCAAAAAGGTATTCGAGGTCTATCTTATCTTGGAGTATTTCGACTAAGATTCGGAGTTTCGCTAATATTTGTCTTGTGGTACCTTCGTTTTCATTGAAACTCGTGTTTGTATTGTGATCAATTCGTGTTTTAAACATCCTTAATCTGGTTATAGTGTTTGGAAGTACAAATAAGTTTAGACAGCCTAATTGTTTATTCCCCGTAGAATAAGGAATTTAATGTGGTGAGCGCAAAAAGGTCACATATGATGTTTGCTTATTTAAGTCTCATCGCATACAAAAGATGCTCGAAACCTAACTCACATTGGGTTTGTATGTTTTGCTATTCAAATAAGACGTTACTAATTCAGGAGGCTATGAGCCTATCAGCTTTGGATAGTAAGAAGCAATAGGGTAGTTGCGCTGACAACACGAGTACTAATAGTGAAGAATGTGTTAGTGTAGTGCGTGCTGAACGTGTTGAACACCCGGTTATTATTAACAAAAAAAGAAAGATCTCCATTAAAACTAACGAGGAGTAAAATGCCCTTTCATATTGAACTGGGTAGTCAGGCGACCTGAGTGGAAGTTTAATACCCGTATAAAGCCGTCACCATTCCAAATAGTCCCAGTGTCCTGAGGGATGAAAGATGGACTACAGTACGGAGAACACGGAACGAAAAGAAAGGAGCTGTAGGCAGTACGCAGGTGGTTAGCAAGTCGTTGGTGAACCCCCATTACGAGTTAAAAAAAATGCACTACCAAAATCTGATAGTAAGATAGAAACCCATCCTGGCGTGACTGAAAAGAAGAATCTAATATCATCGAATATTATTGTGAGCAAATTGCTGGAGTCGAACGGCCCTGATCCCAAAATTAGACACGCGCATGACTTAGAGAAGCTGGAGGAATATATTTGTAGCATCTTACCAGATAACTCTAAAGGAGTTCAGGTAAAAAACTGGTTAGAATAGGCAAGAGGACTGAAGACAATGTTGAACCGCGACCATACAAACTCCTTAAGGTTATCCTGGGATCGGAGAAGCAACGAGATCTCCTGTTAAGTAGCGCTCGTTGTCACGACAATTCCGACATCCGAGTTAGACCTGATATATCCCTAGAAGATAGAATAAAAAGGAAGAAAGCACTAGCTGAACTAGAAACCCGTCAACAAAACGGTAGAGAAAATCCCCGATTAATGGGTTTCCGAATAATCAGGTCTTGGAAGCGAATGCTACCAAGGCCTGTGTGGATAGGCCGTTCTACCTATGCCAACGCTCGTAGTCTAAGAAATAAGTTCTATGAACTAGAAGCATTATTGGTCAGATTAGGGCCACTCATTGTAACTGATGGAAACTTGGTTAGTTCATGGCTTCGACATTACTCCAGAACTATCCGGATACCATTACCTAGAGTGATAGACACAGATTTAGGAAAGGAGGTGGCGTTCTTTTATACATAACCAACAATGTAAATATCCGCTCCTTTGCTTGCGAATCTCATGATAGTGAAAATTTGAAGTCATTATCTGTCAGCTCACTATCGAATGTTGTACATCTATACTCGGTGTCATCTATCGCAGCCCAATCTGCTTAGCTGATGACTTCATTTTATAACATATTCAGTAATGGAGTGCAAATGACAGATGCTCGATACTGAGAGACTTTTATGGACCTAATATTAATTGGGATGAGATGGCCTCCGTAAGATCTATAAACTCCTTTGATAGTAGGTTCCTGATAACGGAAACGGAGCATGCATCCGTATAGCATGTATCCAAACCCACGCGTTTTGGTGCAAACCAAGGTTCTCCTTCGTTGGACTTAGTAATCGCTCATGCGATTGATGATATGGCCAACCTAAATATTCTTCCACCGTTAGTGAATAGCGATCACGCTGTTTCGTCAGTCACGTTTAGAGCTGGTGACGTGATATGCGATCAGGTTAAGCCTCGCCCAAATGCATAGAGCGCTAACATATCAGCCATTCAGGAGTGCGCTGCCAACACAGATTGGTTTGTAGATACCGGCTTATCAGTTGAAGAAGCATGGTCTATATTTAAAGGTAAGTCTAGTTTAGTTACGTCCTCGTTCATACCATACCTGGTACCGCGTAGACCGAATAACGGTCCACCATGGATAACTAAACCAGTCAGGAAACTTCTTAGGAAAAGGAAGAAGCACTGGAATATGTTCATCTCTACTGGCTTAGAACAATACAGATCCAGTTATTGTAAGATTAGGAATACCTGTAAAGCGTTGATAAGTAAGACCAGACGATCATACGAAAAACGATTGGTTAGGGATTCTAGATATAGTCCGAAACGGTTATTCTAGTATATAAAAAGGCGAACTCAGAGAAGCGATGGAATTCCATCAATTTTGATCTACAAAGAAAATCCGTTAATCTTGGCAAGAAATGATACCGAAAAAGCTGGAGCTTTATCGGAATATTTCAGTAAGGTGTTTTCTATCAGTAATGAAGAACGACAAACGATTCATTGTTATTGTGGCGGCTCGTTGATGGACCCTGTAGTCATTGAGAAAGGCACTGTTTTAGGGCTACTTTAGCATCTCAAACCTGATAAATCCAGTGGTCCTGATGATATCCATCCTAGGATTATGAAAGCCATATCGGATGTAATTGCTGAAACTTTGGCGATGCTGTTTGACATGTACCTGTAAAAGTGGAGTTCCCCAAGGTACAATCCTCGGTCCTCTTCTCTTTTTACTTTATGTAAATGAACTACCAACTGTAGCGAAATCATCCGTTCTACTCTTCGCTGATGACATGAAAATTTGTAGACCCAAACACAGTTTTTCAGATAGAATAGTACTGCAGGATGATCTCAATTGACTGGTGGTATGGATGGATGGATGGTCAATAGAATTGAACCCTAACAAGAGTGTTGTGATGCAATTAGATAACTATGATGATTCGTATCACTACACAATATGTGGATTCTTGCTACCCAAAGTAAGAAACTAAAAAGATTTGGGAGTCATATCAAGCAGTGATCTCAAAACCACTCGTCACTGTATGGCTGCTTCTGCGAAAGGCTATAGGTACTATGGTCTATTCGTAGGTCTTTCCAGTATTTAGATGACGAAATACTTAGATTATTATACTCGATTTACGTACGACTACATTTAGCATATGAGATTCAAGCAGTGGGTCCTTGTTTCAATTATGAGTCGGATATACTGGAACGAATCCAATGACCAGGTACTAAAATGGTACAAGGTCTATCTGGCCTATCTTATGAAGACAGACTGAGACACCTTGAATTATTTCCGTTATCTTACCGTAGAATACGGGGTGATCTAATATTGGCTTATCGTATACTGAACGATGACCTTGGTATTAAGATGTCGGCGGGACTCTAATTTAGGGACGACCCAATGCGAAGCGTTTGGGCAATTTCAATTATTAGCCAATCTTAAGACGGTATAATGAAAAATTTATTACAAGATAGTGATGATTCACAGTGGATATTTTTCTTTTACATGATTTAAAATCTATTTAAGTTTTGATAAATGCTTAGAAGTTCTGAATTCATAATGCATATGGTATAGAAACTCGTCCATAGGGTCAGGGTGCTAACATGCGAAAATAACCTTACCATTAAAGGTTTTCGGGAAGTCAGGTTTTGGAAGCCAATGCTTCCGAGGCCTGTGTGGGTAGGACTAATGATTTCCAAAACACCTTAAGTGTGTGCTACACGAACGCTCGTGGTCTTAGAAAGAAAACGTCCGAGCTAATTCTGATGGTGGAAGAATTATGTCCCGATATAATCGTTGGTACAGAAACTTAGTTCACAGTAAATATAGACTGTTCTCCTTTCATTGCAGGTTATATCTGTATTAGAAGTGATAGAGTTTCAAGCCGCAAAGGGGGAAGTATAATATTATACGTTAGGGATTACGTTCGTATACAATCAACCATATCGGAGGCTCATATCAGTGGCACATGTGAGGTTGCATGTTGAAAATTTAAATCTAGAAATGGGTTAGTGACTATAGGGAGAATATAACGTAGTCCGTCTTGTCTTGCTGACGACTTTATCCTAAGACACATCTGTTCTTGGAGTATGGCAGAATGTTGTCTCATCATTGGGGACTTCAACGCACCGCATATCAACTGGATAGAGCTTACAGCTCCATGTAGTGGTTTCGATAGCGACCTTTTATCTACCGTTATTCAGTGTTCACTTGTACAATCTATCACAAAACCAACACATACTGATTTCAATCATGATCCGTCACTGCTGGACCTCGCCCTCACCCACCGCTGTGAGGATGTCTTTGGTATTCAGCACCTTCCCTCACTAGTGAACAGTGATCACGTTGTAATTCACTTTAAGTTTAGGATATATGGTATACAATTCGTATCTGCTCCACCCCGTCCCAATATCTGGCGAGCTAATATTCCGGCAATCAGAAACTGTGCTATCTCGACTGATTGGTCGGTCGACGCGGATGGATTGATCGAAGATGAATGGAATAAGTTTAAGGCTACATTCGAGTCCGTAACGTCGCCGTTTATCCCATGGTCAGCACGTAAGCTATCACATTGCTCTCCATGGATTAATAAGGAAACACGGAAGCTGTTAAAGCGTAGGAAACATTTCTGGGACTTATTCTTGTTGACAGGTCATGCACCATTTAAGCGTGAGTACCAAAAATTCCGTAATATCTGTAAGAAAACCATAGTCAAATCCCGCACCACTTACGAACGACAGTTAGTATATGATAGCCGTACGTGTCCGAAGCGATTGTTTTCGTATGTTAAACGGCAAATGAAACGCAGTGATGGTGTTCTCCCGTTACTGTTACACGAAAATTCAGAATTACTAGCTGAGTCAGATCGAGCAAAAGCTGAGACTTTTTCAAACTATTTAAGTGAAGTCTTCTCTACGTTAATTGTAACAAATACGTGTTCCACTCACACCGAGATACCAACCATTGAATCTGTACAGGTGACTGAGGGAACTGTCCTTCTGTTGATAACTGACCTCAAACCTGGTCAGATACCGGGCCCTGAAGGGTTACATCCACGGCTGTTGTCATCTCTTGCGGACATTATTTCAAAACCGCTTGCGTCACTCTTCAAAATGTCCCTTTCACTCGCTCAACGCCATAGAGATTGGAAGGACGCTATAGTTAGTCCTATATTTAAGGACGGTCAGGGACAGATAGTATCTAACTACCGGCCTGTCAGTCTAACTAGCATAGTCGTTAAATTACTTGAAAAGACAATTCGGGTTAGGTTGCTGAGCCACATAGATTTACACAATCTGTTAGCTCCTGAGCAACACGGATTTTGTAACAAGCGTTCATGCTTGACTAACTTGCTTATTGCGAGGGAGGATTGGATAGCAGCCCTAGATAACGGTCTGTCGGTCGATGTGATATTCATAGATTTTAGCAAAGCATTTGACAAGGTTTCACACGTAGGTCTTATGCAGAAGTTCACGAGCTTCGGAATATTAGGTACTGTACATGAGTGGATAGGAAATTTCTTATGTGACCGCAGACAGAGAGTGAGGGTCAACGGAACGCTATCCGATTGGAAGCCGGTCAAAAGTGCTGTACCCCAAGGCACCATCTTAGGCTCTCTGTTCTTCCTTCTCTACATTAATGAGTTACCGCTGTTACTTAGGTCGTCGACATTATTGTTTGCGGATGATGTAAAAATCTGCAGAACAATAACAAGTGCGGCTGATCATCTGGATCTTCAAGCTGACTTAGACGATTTAGTTAGATGGGCTCGAGAGTGGGGCTTAGAAGTCAATGCTAGGAAGAGTGTACTAATGCACACCGATCACGGTAATAGTTACCTTTACACTATTGAGGGTAAACCTCTTCCTTGCGTTCAAGAGCATAAAGACTTAGGAGTAGTATTAGGCCATGATTTAAAAACAACTACGCATTGCAAAGCAACCGCTGTGAAGGGTTTACGTGCGTTATGGTCACTTCGACGAGCGTTCAAGTAGTTTGACGAGGAAACGTTTTGAATTTTATATCCCATATATGTTAGACCACATTTAGAGTACTGTATCCAAGCAGCTAGCCCGTGTCTGGTAAAGGATACTAACTCCCTTGAGTATATCCAGCGTGTGGGAACGAAATTAGTGAAGGGTCTTTCTAGACTCCCTTACGATGAGCGTTTAAAACGCCAAAATCTTTTCCACTTGTCGTATCGTAGGACACGAGGTGACCTTATACTGGCATTTCGTATCTTTAATTATGATTTGGGTGTTAATATGTCTTATCTTTTTGCTCCCTCCAGCACTAATAATCTTCGAGGTCATAGCAAGAAGATTCATAAACCACGATCTATTAAACTTAAAGTGGGGTCCCGTTTTTCTCATCGAGTAGTCAATCATTGGAACGCCTTACCCGAACAAGTGATATCAGCCCCATCAGTGAATACTTTCAAGGAAAAGCTGGACCTTCACTGGAAAGCAATGTGTCAGGATTAACACAGGTTCATCAACCTACTATCCTTATTACTGAAGACTGGTTTACATAGGATTTTCGAGAAGAGGTGTTTATTGACAAGCCACAACCCCGACCCTAACCCTATGGACAAGTTTCTATACCATATGCATTATGAATTCAGAACCTCTGAATCTTTATCAAATCTTAACAAGTTTTTAAATCATGTAAAAGAAGCATACCCACTGTGATTCATTACTTACCTACAATATATTTCCACTTGATACTAACTGCCTTCTGATTGGCTAATAATTTTTAGGGTCATTTAAGATTCGTTCAAAGGTCGTCGCTAAATTAGTCTCGCCAACATGTCTTATCTTTTACTTCCGTCTAGGACTGATCATTTGAGAGGGCATTCGAAGAAAGTTCAAATCGTCTACTTATGGAGTTTGGTTTCTCGCACCGAGTAGTGAATTACTGGAATTCTCTACCGGAACACGTGATATCAGCACCTTCTGTTGATATATTTAAAACGACATTGAACCTCTACAGTGTAACAAACTGCAAGGATTAATATAAGTCGATAGACTTCCTATCCTTATTACTTTAGACTGTAATGAGCCATGCTTTTTGGAAGGCGGAAATTCTAGGTCTTGGTTCTTCCAGTTGATATCTTAATTCGAATATAACGCTTTAAAGCATAAGAACGTTCGTTTAGCATACATCCAAGGTATTTTGAGGACCTCACTTTCTACCCATACAAGTATCGTCTTCCACGGTCTAATTAATTGGACACCATTGTAGTATTTGAATTACAGTATGAACTAGGAATCCTAGAAATAACGTAATCGGATCAAGAACTAATAGATAACCACAAACGAATGTACTGTATTTAGAATTCGAAATCAAGCATTCATCAAGTACAAAGGTATCATTAGTTCATCCAAACACTACAACCATACTTCCTTAAGTTTTTCGATTCATTTTTTCAATTTGTTCCTTAGATCATTAAAAGTCATTTTTTTCTGTTATCATTAAGTGACTGTAATGCTTAGAAGTATTTGAATTATTATGTGAACTAGGACTCGCCGAAATAACTCAATAAAGGCTTAATGGAATTAAATGAGCACAAACGAACATATTGTATTTAGAATTCGAAATCAGGAAGCCATCAAGTACAAAGGTAACATTAGTTTATACAAGCATCACAGTGACAAGTACTAGTAAACACGTATACTTCAGGCTTCAGTTTTGCGTGTATTTTGAATGCTTACTTTTTCTTCTCATTACCGACGAGTGAGATTGTAATACTTCAAGGTCGCGATGCACCAACGGTACATCTTCAAGGACGTGTCTAGTAGAACATGCTCGATAACAAATCCCGCTAGCAGAAAATCGTAAGAATGAAGTTTTGCTGGCTCTAGGTCCTTTAGCTCCTCTAAATCCCATATAGTTAGACTTGTAGAAAATTAGACACTCATAAAACAAGTTGCTGTCGATCCTTTAGTGTGAATAATGGAAACTTAACTTAAACCTCACGTGTTTTCAGGGATAGGACACTCATCAAAGAATTTTCTGTGCATCAGTTTGTCGGTATTTAATGTATATGTCACGGAATTGAGGATTACTGTGAGGGGGGAAATAGCAGGTGTAAAGGCATAATACGCTATAGACTCAGCTAGTCTTTTGCGTACACGCAAAGTCGTCTGACCTCCTCCCATATCAACCTGTTGACATGACGGTGTTTAAATGCCTAGCTAATTAGCTAGGTTTATAGGGATTTCTTCGGCTGAGTAATAGATATAACTAGAAATTACAGTAAAGTTTGTCTGCCAACTCTGACAGAAAAGCCCGCCATAGCTGCCTCTTGATTCTGCTCACTAAAGCTCGAGTGAGATTACTTAATTTCAATAACCTAGGCTACTTTTCGTTTTTGCACGTTTTCCTGTGACTAACTGAAAACGATCTCAACTCTCGAAGCCAATCATTAAACACCTAGTATTAGTCTAAAAAATTGGTTCCATATCAGCTGGACTTAAGCCATGATCAAGAAAACGAAAGCTCAGTAATTGCCCAGAGACAAGTGTGTTAACCTATTTATCCAGAGGAATGTATCTCCATACGGCCGAACTACCAATTTTCTCACAATGCAACTGTAACTGAGTAGAATGATACCTGTGTGTGTAAAACATATGACTAGCGCGGAAGAACTTAATAAGTAATTACCCCAACCAATACATAAGATCGCATATTTGCCGCAAATATGCTAGGTTTGTAGTACTACCTCATATCCTACGTTACAATGTGCTCACAAGATCCAGTCCCGAAGTTATTCCTAATTGATAGAAGCAGACCAGTCATTGTATGCCACAAAATATCTTGGTAACCAGTAGACGGGCCGAGTGTCTTTCGTCAGCCAAATTCGGATTCCGTAGAGAACCCAACTGACATAGAACAACAAACTCGGTTACAGGAAACAGCCAGATCCAAATCATCTCGAGAAAGCGCGATCCACTCATCTTGGGCTGTATTCCAAAGGTTATGACTGAAAGTCCCAGATTATTAGCCTTAGTTCACTTGGTTACTTATAAACAGTTAACGAAACAAAAAATGCTTTGCTAGCAACTAGAAAATAATTCGTTGAGAAAACATCGCTAGAGAAAACTCAACAAAGAGTAAACATTGACTTTCTTGAAATGTTAATTATCCAGGCAATCGGAAACTAAAATCTAAGTACTTCATATGGCCATGAAAAATCATGGGTGAAGGCAGAAAGCAAATAAGAAATCGTAGAATCCTAACAAGGGACGCAAGTCATATGTGTACTTCAGCATATGTTACACATATGAATGTTTGCAAGTAATATTCAATTTACAATCAAAAACTGAAGACAGCTTTCCTGGTCTAATGTTGACCAGGGTGACAGATTCACCATAGTATTTGACAAGAACAATAGTTATACAAATGTATTTGTGTCAACATGCTTAAAACTGTTGTGCAAACATGTAGACAAATAAATAAAAGCAGAAACAGAACTGTACATGGCAAAACAAAATAGATGGGAAAATTTCTATCAATTTAACTGTATCAGTTTGTACGCTGCTATGGTTATTCGAGAAAACAATGGTAATCTTAATAATAGGAACTTTACTAAAAGTGACAATAATCCATTCAACTAATTAATAAATGAAATATGACTTGGGAAGGAAGAATACATAAACAATACAACATAGAAAACGAAGTTGCAAAGGATGACAAGACTCAGGAATGCAAATAGTATATAATTGCTGATTGGGGTTACAAAAAAAGAGAGTTCTATAAACACATAATGATGACCTGGTTTGGTTAAGTCTTCATCATTTATATTTTATTGATATTACTGAGAGTGCATATACATAAGCAAAACTACTGAGGTACGCATGAACGAGGGAAAATAGAAAAATTGATATCAACGAGATCATAGTGATTCAAAAATAGGAACTATACACATGGAAACGAAGACTGTGGTAGTCTATGTGCGTGCGGATGGATGAACATACATTTACGTAAACACTAACAAGTGTCAGATTGCTCCCAAAATCCTTTATCATAACCTTCATGTACGTGATCTAAAAGGACATTTCGGCGACTTTCACAATATCTGGCTTTATCTTGCATTTTCTGTTTTAATTCATTTAAATTGATATTAGATAAATCACGATCTAGATATTCCGATAACTGTTCTGTAGATTGTTCTAAATCACTTTGATTACTTTCAAATATTAATGAATGATTGTTTTTTTTTAGGAAATAAGCAAAAGCATAAGTATACATGAGTGTTCTTCGACAGCGACAAAGAATTTCAACTAATTTTTTGAAAAATTTAACATCTATCCAAGATGTTCCATGAGCTTGCATTGATTCCATTTTACTTTGCACTGTTTCATATAAACGTGCCTCAAACCTCAACGACTGCATATGATTTAAATAACGATTTGAATAAAAAAGATAGCGATCAAGTGATAACCTTGAACTAGCTTGAGCTTCTCTAGCCAATTTAGCAGCGGAGTCGTCATAACGATTGCATGTGTACCATCGTGATCCATGGGGCTCCCATCGATCTAGACACATCCAACAAAATTCATGCTTACAATCAACATTCCGACAGGTCATGTGATTACAACCACCATTTTTTTCTATAGTTGCACGACATTTTGGACACTCTTTAGTGTTAGCTGCAATCCAGCCAAGCGTACCGCTATCATTTTCAAGCTTTTTAATCCATGTTCTTAACTGTTCACAGCGAACTGGATCATGCCATGGTTGACCACAGGCAAAACAAAAGCATTCACCACAGTTAGTACAAGTGATTTGATATGGTTCTCGGGGACCAAAGCAACGCACGGCATGTTCACAGTTAACACCTGGACACCAAGTTAATGCACGATTATGGAGAACAAAACTACTAGATATCAGCTTGTGAAAATGCTTGCGTACATTTTGATCAGTAATCATTTGAAACACGACCTCATCTTCAACAATTATACGACAATTGGATGAAGGACAATAAATTCGGTCAATTTGACTTTCTTCCATTATTTTAATTTTAAGATAACGCTGCCAACAAGTTAAACAAAAGTAGTGAGCGCAAGACAATCCAAACATTTGACCTAAATATAGGAAAGCAACGAGAGATTAAATCGAACAAATTTTGGGACGTTTTCTGACTACTGGAAGTTATGGTGTCGAGTGACTTGAGAAAACTTACGAAGATTTCAAAACTAAAGAATTTTAATAGTCACACTATGTTTTAATAGTAGATAACATTTATTGATAGATTTGAGCAGTTTATTTAAGTTAAACCTTACATTGATTTTTCTGAGTCATTTACTTAAGTATGATCTTTGTCTTATCCAAGAGCATTTGTCAATTTAGCGAAGTAATATTACAGACCAACTACATTCTCTATTCTGCAAACTGTAACAGATTTGAAATATTTGACCTCTGATTATTTCACTTAATATCATACATAAAGCCATACCCAGCTTTCTAAACATTTAAGTTTAAATGTTGAACTGTACTGCAAATTCAATAATGATGAGAAATAAAAATAAACAAACCCTGATGGAAGTCTATGAAATTGATTGTGCAGTCAGTAGCACATATGGTATTGCCTCGGGTAGTACAGAAGACCAATTTGTGACTATCCTCTTATGGTTTTAAATGAAAAACACGAATATTTTTATTTGGATAGCTTGGTATAGTTATTCCTAGGTTCATGTTATTTTCATATGACCAAATAACTCAAAAGTAGCAATCAGTTTATAACTAATTTATTGGTTACAAGGAGGCTTGCATTTTTATTGATCAGTACAATATTCGTTGAACATAAGGCCGTGAATATTACAAGCCATAACAATCCACTGGAACTATTTGGTCTTTGATATATTTATTCATATGAAAATTACAGTAGTTAAGCAGATAACCTGTTTTGAAATTCAGCTTAGAAAATCTTTACACAATTTACCGCGTTTGATACATCATTTTTATTCATAGGAATAATCTTCATTGACCACAAGTATTCATGAAGACAAGAGAATCAAGTAATAAAACGGAATGAAAAAACCACAGTACGAATTGATGAACAAAAGCCTTTAGCCACATGAGTTACCTACACCGTAAGAACCCGTACAAGAAATCATACAATGTCCAGAATAAATAAATGTGGACAAAATCACTTACACATTTAAGTAAAAATCAAGTGAATGAATACGTTTTTAGTGCCATAAATTGTCGTGTAAGGAATAGTCAATGAACAGCTGATTATTTTTTCAAAGTAAATTAGTGAAAGTCTATTGATGATCATAAAATCATATGATGTATATAATAATAGTTAGAATAACGTAATTGGTGGACTGAAAGTGAACATTTAGGAAAATATGATTTTTCTTTTACAGCATAAATATTGTTACATTTTCACTAGAGAGAAGAATAACAAGGGTCAAATGATAGGTTTATCATGTGCAAACACTTTAACTAATAAAATCGACGAATCGATTATATAACAATTAGTAGTTTACACTTTCTATTCTAACATCAGTACTATTCTATGCTTTACAGTAAACAGATATCTATTCACATTGCAATTTGTACTGTAAGTCATTTTTCTTGAAAAGTCGATATATTACTTGAACAAATATAATACACCCATCATAATTACACATAGAATGTTGATTACTTATTAACAGGAAAAGGTACACTATTAAATAGCTAGCAGTGGAATCCAGGATAGGCGTTTCGACTTATTTTGAACACTTCAGATGAATGTGCCTGCATCCTAGAGTTGACATTCACTGAGGGACTCAAATTCAAAATATAAAAGGGATAGTCAAATCCATTTCAAATTGAATTAAAACTTACACTCGTTACACAAGTGAGTGGCTAACTGGACTCAGTAGCCTAGTTAATAATATTCTGTCATTTAAATTACTGAGTGGGTCAGTCAGCAACAACATAGAACTTCGTACATCAGCTCGAGTTGCATGGAGATGCAGTTGTCGATTCAAATCCCATGGTGGCCGGGGTAGTAAATGCATAAGCAGTAATCGGAAAGACTAGTGGTTGAAAATGTTATTCAAGGAGTATAATCCAGTGAAATAAATTTGGAAAGAGAAAAAAGGGACATGAAGAATTCAGAAGATTAGAAGTTAAGAGAACAAAAAGAGTAGATGCACTTGCACTGTCGCAAACGATTTTCAGCCATATCATTCAAGGTCTCTAATCATCGGTTGCTATCGTCTTGCGGATCCCAACCAGGTAGTCTACACCTAACAACATGGCTCAGTCCACTTGTCAGTGACTTCATGGACTTGTGCCATGTTTTGGTCTGGGCGCCCCTAGCTTTCTCCCAACCTACTCCTACACCATTGAACATCGCACGTCGGGGCAGTCGGTGATTGGACATACGTAACGCGTGTCCCAGCCATCTCAACTGATGAAGTTCTACTACTTCATCCATTGATTTGCCATCCTTACCTAGTACCCGTTTCCTAACAACTGCATTACTTACTCGGTGGCCCTAGGATACACGAGCAATATTTCGAAGACACCTATGATCGAATGCTAGTAACCTGCGAATATACTCTACTCTTACCGGCAATGTTTCACTGCCATAAATGACGCAAGTTGGCAAAAGCTAGTCGAGCCTTCTGTATCCGTGCTGAGATTTTGTCACACACCAGACCACAAGGGATGATGGAACTCCCATGATAAGTGAAGTGGTCGACACGCTCAACTACTCCACTCCCTAACATTAGCACGGGTGTCGATGCGACCCAATCCTGGAGCAACATTTTACATTTCGAAGGCGAGAATCGCATCCCGAACATGCTTGCATTGTTGCTTAGAGTGGTCAGAAGACTCTGCATTTTGTCAGCGTTTTCACCAAATAGCACTATGTCATCGGCATATTCTAAGTCACCAAGTGAATCTCCCGATAAAAGTTCAACTCTGGGATGCAAATACATCGATCTAACGTGTCCCAAACCGGAAGAAGCGCGCGTTCTGGACACATTCCATTTATTCTACACAAACTTGAGTTTATTTATTTATTTGAACACATAAATATTGGTACAAGAGGGCACCAAATATATATGCACCACACAAAACAATGAGAATTCGACAAGAAAAAAAGGACAATAACCACCAGATTAGTGTAATAATAATAATAATAATAATAATAATAATAATAATAATAATAATAATAATAATAATGATAATAATAATAACAATAACAACAACAATAATAATAATAATAATAATAGTAATAATAATAATAATAATGGAGGAAACAGAGAGGTAAAACCAGAAGAAATCTTTCAGTTAAGGAAGATACAACCACTTTTATGAAGAAAGTGAAAGAAGGTTACAGCAGGATTGCAACTGGCTTCTATTCTGAACCATATCTGATAACGTCTCTATAGACACTGTGTTGCACCATCTCTCAAACCCCAGGCAGAGAGTCGTGAAGGACCAACAGAAGCCAGCCCTTTGCAGCCTTCTTCCATACCCCGACACCATGTCATACACTGACCAACTCTCCGCTTTTTCCAACCAGTCCCAGAGTCGGCAAATAATGCACGACGTGGAATTCTCTGGGATGACATTCGTAGAACATGTCCAAGCCACCGAAGTCGGTGTTTCGAGATGGTGACATCAATTGGATTACCGTCTCTGCACCCGAACACACGATGCCGAACCTCGACATCACTACTGACATGGTGTTGCCACTGGATGTCAGCAATCCTTCGGAGACAACGATGATCAAACACAGGGAGTCGTCTAACATCCTCAACTCGGAGAGGCCAGGTTTCACAAGCGTAGAGCAAAACTGCTCTCACCGACGCGTTGTAGATCCGAACTTTTACAGCCAGACTAACATCACGAAGGCGCCAAAGATGATCCAGATTGGCATAAACCACTCTGGCTTTCAATATACGTGCATTGGTCTCATCACTCACACCTCCACCAACACTTACGCAGCTACCTAGATACACGAACTTCTCGACTACTTCTATCTGCTCACCATCCAGGGTGAGTACAGGATTAGAATCCTGCCAGTCTTGTAGAAGTACTTTGCACTTCGAAGGTGCAAAGCTCATACCGTACCTACGGACACTGATTGACAACTGATTAAGTGCGGATTGCATGGCTTGGGTATCATCGCACAGTAAGACAATATCATCCACATACTCAAGATCGAGTTTTTTTCCAGACAACAGATCCACACCGCCACTACTTACATCCATCAGAGCTGTTTCCAGAATGCCATCGATGGCAAAATTGAAGAGGAATGGTGAGATTGGACAACCCTGTCTAACCCCACTGCTCGAATCACACAATGGAGAAAGGTGGTTGTATATAGGGCCTTTAGGATGTTAATAAACTTCTAAGGCACACCCTTCTTCAATAGACAATCCCAGAGAACAGTCCTATCCAACGAATCGAAGGCAGCCCTGATGTCAAGAAACACAACGATTGTTGGCCTTTGATAAGTATGGCGGTGTTCTAACATTTGGCGGAGGGTGAAGATATGATTAATACATCATCGACCGGAACGAAACCCAGCCTGCTCCTCGCGAGCCAATCTTTCTCGAGTTTTGAACAACCTACAAAATATGACGGAAGCCAATAGCTTGGACGCAATCGATAGTTCTTACAGGAACGACGTGAACCATTTTAAAGATAGGGACAACTATCGGCTCATTCCATGACGTTGGTACACTCTCTAGCTCCCAGACCTTTGTAAACAACGTCGTCAGTTACTTAGTCAGAAAGTCACCACCACCTTTAAAAAGGGCCGGAGGTAAGTCATCTGGGCCAGGTGATTTGTAGCGCTTCAAGAGTTGGAGTTCCTTGCAGACTTCCGCCTCAATTGGTGGATCAGTCGTCACTGGCCATGGAGGGCGGGACAGTCTGACCGATGTTGCCGGCGCAGCAGACCAGTTGAACTGCCCTTCGAAGAATTCACACAAACGTGAGTTAGGAGATACGTCCAAGCAATCCGCATAGGACGCATATATGATGATCAAAACAGCCAAAATATTAACAATGGAATAATCCAAACCATTTTGAATTGAATTACACTACAACATAGTTTGTTTTGGTCATTTTCCACTTTATTTTCAATATGAATGACTTCTAAACGAAATATATATAGTCCTTCTCTAGTGCTGATCGAATTTGAATGATTGAGTATCATGTCAGTTATTTTTTCAAACACGAGAAAAAGGTTAGGACATCTTAATTATAAACAACTCTAAAACAATTATCATCTGATATGACGCTATCGTGAACCAATGAATTAATTTGATAGAAAACAATGATTTGTCAGTTTTAAGCTTAGTGAACAGTAAATATTATTGACTGGAATACATTTTTTAAGTATCAAAACCTGTATGGTGTGTAATTGGAATGATAGTTTTGATTAATTTAAGGTGATTAAAGGGAATTCCATCTATCCACCGGATTTTGGTAATAAAAATAGCTAGAGATTGTTAAGTTATATGTATATTAAAAGTCGTGATATAAAATGTAGTTTAAACGTAAGATATTTCTGATTGGATATGTCCCACCCTTAGGTGAAACAAGAGCATCTACATAGTTTGTAGATATCAGTGAAACTTAGTCCATACTAGCAAGAAACACGGGTCTGGAATCTTCTGACAACTGGCTTAAAATATTTGATATAGGGTAATATTATATATATATATATATATATATATATATATATATATATATATATATATATATATATATATATATATATATTGCACGACATATTACAGCTCTCTTCACAAGTTATCAGACATGTAAAATTCCAGATGAACAAAAAGATAAATGTTTATATCGACGGTTAACACATAAGCTCTCAATATTTCACATTGATAATGAAAAATCTTACTTGGAGTAGTTGGTAGGAAACATATATCACAAACGATTTCGTTTTTCTTTTCACACAAATTCCTTGATCCTGTCACTAAAAATAGAATTTATAGAGATTACATATGCCACAAATCCTAATAAAAGGTTGTTTTAATGATTTCAAGTGATGATATAGTTAGGAACATTTTTATTATCATCTACTGTTCGTTTATTAAATATGGACTACATAATTAGCACCAGACGGACAGTTACACAAGCAGTAACAATATAGAGCTTGGCCTGGTACAGATATGAGTTGACCCAAGTTGCCACAAAACATTAGCAATGATAAAAAGGACTAAACCTTGGAAATATGGTTTGAACAAACATTGGGAAAGTATGTGTGAAGGAAAACTAGAATTCACTATCAAGAAGATTAAGAGAGAATGCGTCTACACTACTATGAACGTTTCTGGGACATGTCACTCAGTCTCAAAGAACTAATCGCTGTTATTAAGCAGAGCACAGTCAAGTAGTCCGAATCTACCATGAGTCAGATGAACAGTCTGCGACTTCATGAGCTAACGCAGTGTCATAGGTTTGGCTGCCTCTACCTTCCTATCAACCTAATACGCCAGCAAGCGTTGCCAGTAAGGGTAGGTTGTGGTTAGGGATATGTGAGACACATAATAACCACCTCAGTCGATGAAAATATAAAATCTTATCAACTTGATTTCCTAACTACATTAGCCTAGTGCTTTATGCCTAGCCTTAGTAGTTATGGCAACTCGAAATGATGTAGGTACGTACGAAGTTTTACGTTGTTGACTGACTGAACCTTAGCAGTGCTTACTTGGTCATTCCACAAATCCTATACCAGTAACTCTTACACTGCCCGTTATTTTCCAGTGCTAAAACTAGATGGAAAAAGCGAAGAGGTGGTCAGCTTATCACATGTTGCAGTGATGTGATAGTTGGATGTATAAGACTGGGACTTGTCAATCCATTATGACCGCCTGATTTGGGCCAGACGGTAGTGCAATTCAGTTGGTTGATACATTACCAGATACGGTTTATAATGCTACCATATGGCCAGTGGTGATGCCGCCAGTGTACTATTCGAGTCTTTACACAAGTGAAATGGAGTTTCACAAATGATCTTTCTTGGTTATGTTTTTTAATCGAACTTGATCTCTTATTACATACTATTAGCATTCATTTATTTATTGGTCATACTGCCCTTTCTGTCTATTTCTTCACAATCATATAACCTTATTTGTGTGGGGTATTTTTTCAGTAGTCTATCGTATCAAAATTTATAAGCGTCAGATAGAATAGTTTGTTTAGTAAGAAGTATTTAGATGCACAAGACGTATAATTTACCTTCCTTACACTGACTCTTTTGCTATGAAAGCATGGATGCCGTTATTGATTACATTCTGAAACACGATGAAGTGGTATCAAGAACGTATTCTTAAAAAAACTGCAAACTATAATTTTATTCACCAACTTATTGATTAAAGCATTTCAACTTATTCCAGAAAATGGTTGCTACCAAAATATTGGCAGTCTACAATATTTGAGATATACCGACAGGAAATTCGAAACGGAACCAACTATTTAAACACTTATCATCTAGTACAGTTCAGAAAAACGACAGCTTTAAAGTGAAGGATTTTGGTTGACAGATTTGGTTATATTTCTGCTGTACTGAACCTCTGATGGATTGTGGTGAGCGTTACAAATATACATGGATCAATGACCGGAATTAGTGCGAGTTAAGTATATCTAGCTGATAAGTTTTAAATAAGATGTAACACTTGTCTTGAATCTTACTGATAGTCCTAATCGAATACTATTATAACAGACGGAACAAAACTACAATGAAGTCACTAAAGTACAGAATACCTGTTTTATTTTAGATATTAGAGCAGCATATAGTTTTTAAAATCAATAAAAATAATGACTAGATGACCCCTTGAAACATAAATCAAATGCATGTGTAAGGACATCAGGGTTTGAACATGTCGAACTATGATTGGAGGTCACGTACTTTAATCACTTAGCCACCGGACTACAGCGTTTTTAACGTAATGACGATAGGGTATATGAGAATGTCAGATCAAAACTGAGTAATTACATCTTACCTGGGATATCCATAGGGTCTAAAATACCTGTTTGAGCAAATGTATCTGCTTTTCCATGTTCAAAATAAAATTCCATCAATGCATCTTTATCCCATTTAAAATGAGCAAGTAATAGTCGTAAATAAGTCGGAGGAATCTGAATTATTTGTTCAACTTCTTTGGTAATATCAGACATCAACTGTGATAATTGGTTGGGATGTAATATCTAGTTGGATAGGATTAGTAAAATGACAGTAAACTCTCTAGTAATATTTGCAATGAATGAAATAGCTTAAGGTATGTATAATTCATCTTTTTAAAAGAAAGGACATCTACGAAATTGGCACCAATGAAGTGTCAGTCAGTAACAACGTAGAACTTCGTACGTACGTACATCAGTTCGAGTTGCCACACCACCTTAGCACAGAGATGCAGTTGTCGATTCAAATCCCGTAGTGGTAGAGGTAGCAAGAGTATAAGCAGTAATAGGGAATATTAGGGTTTGGAGATGTTATTTAAAGAGTATAATTCAGTGAAATAAATTTGGAAAGAGGAAAAAAGGGACATGAAGAATTCAGAAGATTAGAATTTGGGAGAACACAGAGAGTGTATCAAGCTGAAAAAAATTTACCACTTTATTCAAGGAATACTGATTGTCAAAATAACTTGGTTCATGTGAACAAAGTACATATACAACTTCTGGTCTCTAATGTACAGTAACGTACAAGTTTATTGATCACTATTCACGAGATAACCGTAATCTGTGGCTGAATACCGTAGTTTTCCAAAATCAGTCTTACGAAAACATGTACAATGACCCATTATCTTCCTCTGAATCTTGGGCTTGGCATTATTCCATACCTTTTATTTACCGAATTCATCGACTACATTTTTTGGTTTTGTCTCTCACTATTGTTGAATATGATGTTTTCAATTGTCTGCTTTCTAATTTGTCGATTCAATATCACTGTGTTGATGTGAAGCGTATTAATTTAGAACGATACATGTGTACCAACTACGGTTACTATCAAGAATAAGATGACCTCATTATGTAATTTGTTTCATTTTATTTCAATTTGTACCGGCATTTTGTGTTTAAACAAATATAATATTAAACTTTTAGTGAATGCAATCAAGTTTTTTACATTTACCTCATATTCTAGGGAATCCTCTTCACGCGACTCAGTAGTGGTATATGGAACATCTAACAAATTCACAAGTTCATCGTTTTCACCTGAATGTACTGAATCATCTAATGATATATCAGAATCATTGAGTTCTTCATCCATCAGCTAGGTAAATAAAAGAAAATGAAGTTAAAATACTACGTAGTCACGTTACGATTACATTTCGATATTTAGTGTTTATCACAAACGAAATGAGACCTTATTATTTGATTGTAAGAAATAAAAAACTACTACTTTTATAGTCCTGAAGTTATGGATTTGTCCCAGTTTTTCGATGTCAAGTACGCATTTAAAGACGGGACTAGCTCGGTCATTACAAATTCGTGGTGAAAATTCCCGTTTCTTAATAAATTGGTATTACGAATATCATGCAGTGAAATATAGGTAAAGTACTAAAATATTTGCCTGAACTAACTGTTAAACGAAAACTCTGTGAGGTCGGTTATTGGCAAGATGGTAAGAAATAATTGGTGCAAGAAATGTGCCACAGGAATTAGTAAAACCAAAACCAAATAGTGAAACTGAAAGATGGAACGATAATGACTGATTAAACGCTGATAAATGTTTTGCTTCTTTAAAAACAACACACTGATTATAGGACGACTAGTGAACAATATTGGCCAGATAGGATATCATGTGACTGGGACGCTAGAGACATAATATTGAGTTGATGTACAGATATTTTTTATTATCTAGCAACAACATGAGGAACTCTGAAATGTAGTTCTTAGTCTTTAGTAGAATAAAAGCTGCAACTAACGCGACTGATTATTATTTATTATTATTATTTATTTGAACACATATATATTGGTACAGGAGTGCGCCAAATATATATGCGCCACACAATTTCAGTTCACTAATTGCGTGTGGGCTGCGATACTGCCCGTGTGCCCAGACCGAAGCAGGTGGTTATCTTAGGGGGCCACACCCCGAGCCTTTGACCTAAAGGTCTAACCCACAAGGCAGCATCGTAAGGAGATGCAGTCCCATGGTAGCCGGTGACCGAAAATTGGTTCATACGCCATTTGTTCCCGCAGGATACTGGTGCCCATGTGCACCGTAGATTTGGAATCCGGTTAAAGCGCCGGACATTCGCTTTTCGTCCTCTCATTTTCGTAAACACCCCCGCCACGAGAAGGCAGTGAGTAGGACTTCCCTGGCAGAGGCTGTATACGCGCGGCCGTGTGAGAGTATTTCGAGAGGGAGGGCGAACCCACCCCGCTCTCGGCCATACCAGGGCGACTGAACATTAACATAATAGAACTCTGGTAAGTATTACTCAAAGAAGAATCATGGATTAGACTCATTTGAGTTTATTATCGACTACACGGTTAAAACAAAAGAATATGGATCATAAATTCAGAAACTAACATGACAAATTTACTGACAAGCGGTCTGGAGATTTTATTATATACTACAGTTTAGGACTATTAGTTAAATTTATAAAGGCGATGCCCGAAGCATGGAAGCACAATAATAATTTACTGACTAGTAGGATCAATGATTGTAAAAGTACATACAAAACAAATTTGTAGTATGATAATGATAAAGAAACTGATGTGACCAACCTGACTTCGGTTTGAATAACTTAATGTTTATTAGCATTCCAGTAAAACTGAGTAGATCATAAACGGCATAGAAGCATGAATAGTAGCCGAAATGGATTGCCAAGCATGACAAAATTGTAGTGACGGGGCTTTGTAAGAAAACCCTTACCACAGAAGAATCTCTCACTGTTAAGATTTAAGCTCACTTAAGAGTGGCATTCAAATACGAAAAAGGGCATATGTCCTTGTTTTGGGTCAATGTGTGAGGGTAAGTAGTGCTGATTGTGTGTTGGTAGTAAAGCAGAGACGAAGGTTTGAACAAGAGGTCTACGAATCAAAAACCTAAAAGTTTACCTACCAAGCTACTGTTTATCAAGGACATGACAGAAAAATTGGTGTGGGACATAGGTTCTAACTTTAACTCAGTTCAACAATCAATATCTGAAACTAAATGCAAAAGCAATGACCAACAACAAAGACCCCTAGTATCCACACAAAAAGGTGAATTTCCTCCCCATCTTAGGAAACAAAAAGATTAAGGTAGTTTTGGGGTTCACTTTGCCCACCTTTGATTGTTGAGGAAAATTTGATGAGGAACGACAACTTAACAGCCTAGAAATGTTGTAAACAAAAGCACGGTCACATTCTTTTAAAGTTGTGAGTTCTACGATAAATATGGATTTACTATGATCCGAAATGCAACATTTTTCCCCTAAATATATTAGTTGCCAATGCAACCAACTTTCTGAGGTTGAGACTCAGAAAACACTTATATCGCGAGAAACATGAAAGTTGGGCAAATGCATCCAACAGTTCTGCGACAAGCCACAAGACTGTATGATCAAAGCCAGGCTTGGATTTGCACACGCTACCGAATGATCGATTTTGGTGACTTGAAAACTGATTCGGCCCTGAAGAAGCTAGATGATTTTCTGCTTATCAGAATATATCCGGGTTCCAGCCTACTCAAGCAGATGTATCAACGTTCATAGCCCTTGGGAAGTCACCGTCATCAGCTTTAGGCTATATTTCACGCTGGTACAAACATAAACAACACAGATCCAGAAATACTAGAGCCCTTTAGTGAACATATTTACGCGTGGACCAATGTGATCGGGACTTGTTACTTTCAGAGCTCCTTAATGTGAGGGAAGTTTTATCCGTTTTGGGGAAGCCGCTATAGAAAATTTTGGCGAAATAGCACAAAATCCCAAAAATTACCCTGAAAATTTTGGAATTTCCCCAAAATAGGGAGACTGTGTTAACTAGCAGCTATATGTTCAGACCAGTTAACCTTGTATCTGGTGGACAGAAGATAAAATACCATAATGGGAGCTAAAGTTTTACTTACGCGAATTGTAGATGGACTTAGAAAATTTACTATTTCAACATTATAAGACTACTGTGTGAAAGATAAAAAATAAACAGAAAACTCAAGCAAACAGTTTTACAGGATATGGACTACGAAAATTATGTGAATACAGTCTTTTAGAGAATCCCTAAACAATTTCTGGAATCTTATAACAAATAACAGACGGTGGATTAAATTTACCGGGATGGCTGCAACCCACAGATTTGAAAGCCACTGGAAGAAACAAAGAAAATGCTCAGATTGTGCTTGTTTGAGTAATGAGATATGAAGCATCTGCAGTCACTATCAGTAAGTAACATAAAACGAGTTTAGTCACTGGAAATGTTTTATATTTAACATATTGTGTATCCATGGTAGTTCTAGGGGACTTTAATCTCCCTAGAGTCAACTTCGCAGAACACACGTACACTGGAGGCGACAACTCAACTGAAGCTCGGTTCTTCAACCTCATCGATAACTTGGGCTTATATGAAAATGTGAGGTCGGCAACTCGTTGGAGAAACAGTCAGACACCATCGCGCTTAGACTGTGTATTCACTAACGAAGAATTCCTAGTCGACAACCTCTCAATCCTGGCTCCTCTGGGAAAGAGCGATCATGCCGTCATAGCCTTCAGTTTTGTCATCAAAACTAAGCTAAGGTATCCCAACAATAATTTGCGTTGGAATTTTAAACGGCTGAATGTGCGAGCTCTACATGACCATCTACAACAGGTGGTTTGGGATGTTCACCCTCAAATCGATGTGGATGGTCATTGGGACTTCTTGCTGCACACGCTCTTATGTGCTACAGACCATTCAGTTCCTCAAACGGTTCCCAAAAGCTTCAAGCCACCTACAGTAATCAAGAACCGTACCCTTCGCCTCCTAAGCCGCAAACGGCACTGTTGGGCGGAATACAAACGAACTAATAACGATGGAGCGTATAGGCAATACAAACATATCAGGAACACATGCACGAAGGCTATAAGAGAAGACAGGCTTCAGTACCAAACAAAGCTTATGGACAAATTCGCCTCTAACCCTAGAAGCCTATTCCGTTATGCAGCCTCTCTTCGTCAAGCCAAAACAGGAGTTTCTCAACTGCTAGGTCCTAACGGCCCGACCAACAACGATGGCGACGCCGCTAACCTTCTGGCGGCCCATTACTCTCAAACATTTCAACCGGCTGATATCAACTTTACTCATGATAGTTTCATCTGCAATTCCACAGGACTTTCTGAAGTGGACCTAAGCGCTGACTTGGTGTTCCGGAAACTGCAGCACTTAAGACTTGACACTTCTCCTGGCCCGGATATGGTTCATCCTGCCATACTGAGGGAGGCAGCCTCAATCCTGGCAACGCCGCTTAGCGTGATGTTTTCACACTCGCTTAGCCGAGGCAAACTACCGGAAAATTGGAAGTTGGCTCACATCACACCAATTTTCAAAGGTGGTCGACGCAATGAACCTTCAAGTTACCGGCCGGTAGCTCTTCTGTCGTTACCTTCAAAACTCATGGAGTCCCTGATATGCGACGGTTTAAATGACTACCTACTGTCCTTAAATTTCTTCTCACCCCAACAGCATGGTTTCAGGAAGGGTTACTCTTGTATAACCAACCTGCTGACTGCGGTGGACAGATGGACAAGCATCCTCGATCGCAAGGGAAAGGTTGATGTCATTTACCTTGATTTCTCAAAAGCTTTTGATAAGGTTAACCACTTGTGTCTTATCAACAAGCTCAAACGACTAGGTATCAAACCACCTCTAATCGACTGGCTTACTTCATACCTAAAAAATCGACACTTTAAGGTTAGGGTTAATTTCACTTTATCTCAAGCTATGGAATGTCCTAGTGGGGTCCCCCAGGGCTCAGTACTAGGGCCTCTTCTCTTCTTGATCTACATAAATGATCTTCCTCAACAGGTAACGTCAGACTTATTACTTTTTGCCGACGACGTGAAACTTTGGAGAGAGATACGCAACCAAGACGATATACAGGCACTTCAAGAGGATCTGACTCGACTTCAAAGTTGGGCAGACGATAACGGACTTACCTTTAACACTTCTAAGTGTAAAGTAGTCCATCTGCGACATGTCGCAAACTACAGTTACAACTTAGGAAACTCCTCTCTAGTAGTATCCCAAGTCGAAAAAGATTCCGTATTCCTGGTGCCCCATGACTTAAAGTCTTACGCTAATTGTGACAAAAATGCCTTCCGAGCAAACCTTGCACTGGTAACGTTGAGGCGCATTTTTGGTCAGTTTGACGGAAGAACTTTCCACACAATCTTCAATAGTTTCATCCGTCCCCATTTAGAGTACGGAAACATAGTACTCCCCCCCTCACTCCAAAAGGATAAGGTCACTTTGGAGCGTATCCAACGGCGAGCCACGAAATCAGTTCGAGGACTCAAATCTAAGCCTTACGAAGAACGCCTCCGTTCACTAGACCTTTACCCACTAGAATATAGGCGTCTTAGAGGTGATTTATTAATGGCTTATAGTATTCTTAACACTTCTGGACATCCTCTTAAACACCTACTTAAGCTTAGTTCGAACAATAACCTAAGGGGTAACACCCAGAAACTGGAAACACAACATAGCAAGACGGAATGTAGACACAACTTCTACTCCTTAAGAGTTGTCAAAAGCTGGAACTCGCTGCCGGCCGAGCTAGTCCAAGCGACTTCTCAGGAGTCCTTCAAGAGGCAACTTGACCTATTCTTAAGGACCAAGGACAGCATCGCACTATGATTTACCAATTTCTTTTCCTCTTTTATTGTTAACATACCTAGGTTCCTGCCTGGAGGATTTGGTGATCCCCTGCTACTAGACACGGAAGCCTATTAAGCGAAAGCTTCTTCTATTCCGTCCACAACCATTTGAACCATTTGTAACACTTGACGACAATGCAAAAGATTAAGCTGATGAAAGCCCACAATAAAATCCATGAATTTTGAAGACATTCCTAAGAAGACAACTGTAATCCTCTAACCTGTAGCAACCTTATTTAAGGCTCCTTTGAACATTTCATTGGACTTTTTTACAACTGTAATTTTTGAAGTTTTACTTGTCTGTTCATGGACTCATTAGGAACATTTTACACACTTCCTTTAGATTTGGTACTCATGGGTTCGCCAGTTCGGTCTGAAATTAGAATGCGTATTAAATACAACTTTCTAGAATATCATTAAAGATACTCAGATGGGTTCGACAACGCTGTTTGCCGTGGCTTGTTTATATCCAAATTTCTCAAATCCAGTCAAACTGAAAACCGAGAACAAAGAGGTCCGAAGGAATAGTTGGATGGTGGTCATTGCGTCGAGATGTTCGTTATCCTAGCTGACTAGTTACTGTGAATGGTGTGCACCATGGGGTACTTGTAACAGCTTAGGTTGGTTGGGTAAGGGTTGACCTCAAACAACCAAGCATATGCCAAAACAGTATAGTTCAAGTATTCATTCACTTCCTTGTTTTGTAGAGGCGTTATATTTCCTATTATCTTATATTGAATGTTGAGAGGCCTTGTTTGTCTGAACAAATGATCCCACGCTCCACTGTGACTGCGCGAAGATCTAAATAAAGACCTATTTACTACTTGTCTGGTTTCTTCTATCAATAGCACGAGGGTTACCTAGAGGCACGAAATACTCATTTGTGATCTGATATGGATGCTTGATCAAGCATCCTAACATGGGGTGTGTTCAGTAAGTTTAATATAGTCAACATTAATTTTGAAGACTTACAGAACTATGCGTATACGTGAAAATGTAAGCACTTATCGAAAAATACTTGTTTTTGGGCATTCTAGTAAACCATGGAAGAAAACTGTGAATAAACATTGAGACACTGGAAAAAATTGCACACAAAATGGTGGTTCTTGGGAAAAAAACATAAATATATCAAATTCTTTGGTTTGTTTGTCTCTGGAACAATGAAAACGGTAAATGAAGACAACTTGACGTAGAACAAGGGGTAACCCGAGAAAATGCACAACATATGACAGTAGTTCTAATGTTCTAGGACGCTCATGGCTCTTCCAGAGTGCGTCGTTTTGCATCGGTTATCAAATGCTGGTGAAGTTTTCTTCTCGTCGTTAATGATAGGTAATCGCCACAAGCATTCGGAAGTTGAGTACACCTTTACACGTAACATCTTCATAACCGAAGTATGCCAACCTAGTCCAGTCGGAAGTCAAACGTGAAGAGGTTTGAAGCTATACTTGAAAGACTGGTGATATAAGTTGGCTTACGGCGTAGGAGAACGTACTCACTTGTGATCTGGTGTGGATACGCGACCGATCTTCTTCAACTAGGTGACTTTAGTAAAACTAATGAGGTCAGAATAAAATGTCAATGACTTACAGGACCGCAACATATTGCTGTTGTGGGGATTCCTTAGTTAGATTATTTAGTGTGAAAGTCGGCATATATGAGATTGCCTTTCGTGTAAATAGACCGGTTCTAATGTCTAATTTAGTTCAATTTCTCATCGTTGGTATAATACCTAGGTTCACGGCGAACTATATAAAATCCTCCTTATACAGCATCTAATAGTTAATGCAATGAGTGCCAACTTACAAAAATGTGTATTTTGTGTACCAGTATCACACTAATGATTACGACAAGTGGTTAAGCAACCCTTTTCAGCTAAAAAGAAATATACTAAGTTGGTTGGAAACATCGATGTCAGAAAAGTGAAGCTCAAATGTTGGACTGTCTTACCAGCATTACTTACTAGGGTCTTGGTTTGTGTGTTCATTGTACTGCCTGATAAAGCGATACATCTACTATATCTAATTATGAACAAGACAGTCGCAGAAGTTTGACAAGTATGATATTTCTTCCGATAAGAGAGGTTTAAAAATCAAGTTTACAATAATACTATTACGCTATGGTTTAGAAACACACTAGTATAAGTGTATGCACATACGAATAATCAACTACTCCTGTAATAAGTGATAGACAGAGAGGATTATCTCATGACGGTTAGAAGACACCAAACAGTATGTATCATATTTACTAGAGAACTCTAAGCAACGTATTTCGTAGTTTTCCACCTCGAGAAATATGTGTAAGACAGATAGCTCATGATTCTTATCTTCGATAAACGATGAACATTTACTCTTCATTTATTATTTAACGCATACATTGCGACCTAAGAGTGGTGTAAATTTAACTACCTCCTGAAATTTTCATGGAAAGTTCAACATAATTCCGATAATAACAATTGATGTGCTGTGATGAATTATTTCTAGGGTACGTGCCTTGTTTTAAATGGTTATTTTTC